TATTTCAACCATGTACTTGGCTGTTTGATTCAGTGTTAATGATAAAAATGGATAAAGAAATGGAAAAAAAGTGTTTTTTTGTTTCTGACAACTGTTTGACGTAATTAACACACAAGGACATTCCAAACAAAGCAAAAGAAAAGTCAATAATAGTAAGATATTATTTGTAAAGAATTTCCATGTCAGTTGGAGAATGATCATGTGCCTTAGAAAGGAAGCAATTACTACTTGTCCCAACGTTCATTATTACAAAGCACTCCAATCTGTCTTGGCTCAGGAGAATTTCGGTAGGCATAGAATGAATTGTTTCACCAAATTGGTGGGCACATAAATACTAAAGGAACAGGAAAACTGTCCCTTTCCTGTTCCTGGAGTCCAAAATACAGATTGTAAACCACAGCTGAGCATTTCTCAGACGTAGTTAGCAATGCCAGTATGGAACAAAGAATGGCTGCCATTTATCATTCATTTATTATCTTACTGTAGAAAAACATGGAAAATGGTCATGGTTTTTGTCACCTTCTGAATGTGTTACCAACTTGTACATTTTCAAAGACCAACAACCTTTTTCTGCTTTTTACATAAAGAAGAACTAAGGATTGCTAGATAAATATGCTGGTATAATACATACATTATATGTGAACAGTTTTCTTGCCGTGCAGTTCTGGAAATACAGAATATCCTAAACACAAGTCAGGAGATGATGGAGAATATTACTCTTAAAGCCGACCAAGCTTTTGGCTAGGTAAACCATAGCAAACCTATGTATAAAAACATATCTGGCACTGAACAGGTTAATGCATGGCAGAACACCATATAGTGCTTTACTAAAGGAGTAGAGAGTGTTTACTTTCAGTGAATGCTCATTGCACAAAGTGACTTTTTTTTTATTATCTTAGTGAATGAGGTGAAACAACGTGAAAATTAATTTATCATAAAGCATAAATATTGTAGCACTTACTCCTGAAGGAGCCACCATTTTCCTGGGCCCCCTGCTCTCAGAGCCTAAGACTCTGAAAGCAGCACTACATTCTCCAATAATGCCGGACTGAAGAGGGGATATTTATTTCAGCAATAAATACAATACTACAATAACCAAAGAAATGGAAACAGCAAAAATCACCCAAACACATATGTAAACAGTAGCAAAATAAAGAATACAGTTTGTAATAAGCAAACAGACCAGAGAATGACCCCTGAATGCTATGCTTAGAAGGTCCTATTGCTAAGATAAAAGTTTGTCAGTCTCTGTCAAACCCTTTCCCTACTGGCCAGTATGTTGGGGCCCAAATCCAGCGTTGGAGCACCCAGATAAAGTTCCTCTAAACCTGGTTATAGGTGCCTGAACTGAGTTCCAAGCAAACAATACTACTTCTCATTATTAGGGTACAGAAAGGTTTGGCCAGTGGCCTCCCACCAACTCTTGGTGTACGGCTGGTCTCCCTCTGTGCTGTTCTCCAGTGGCTCAGTGAAGTTAGCAGCAGTGGCATTCTCCCCTACCATCAGTGACAGTGGTGTTCTCATATACCAGAAGATGTCCGCTACCCCCACCACAACGTTCCTAATGTTGTGGCAAAACATTTTGTCTTCTACAATGTCCTCACCATATCTGATTTGAGCCCAAGAACAGACCTTCCTTTTCCTCTTCCACAGACCCCCAGTCATGCTGGGATGTGTTGTTCCATCTGACACACAGCCTCTAGCCCAACCTCTGTGTTCTCCTATGACAAATCACAGCCTCAGTCTGTCTAGGGACTACATCCCCCACAAGTATCAATTCCTCCCAGCAGGCCATTGTTGTCCCAGGCTGCACAGTAGCCCATCCTCTGTGTTCTCCTATGGCGAATCCCAGCCTCAGTCTGTCTAGGGACTACATCCCCCACAAGTATCAATTCCTCCCAGCAGGCCCTTGTTGTCCCAGGATGCACAGTAGCCCATCCTCTGTGTTCTCCTATGACAAATCACAGCCTCAGTCTGTCTAGGGACTACATCCCCCACAAGTATCAGTTCCTCCCAGCAGGCCATTGTTGTCCCAGGCTGCATAGTAGCCCATCCTCTGTGTTCTCCTATGGCGAATCCCAGCCTCAGTCTGTCTAGGGACTACATCCCCCACAAGTATCCATTCCTCCCAGCAGGCCCTTGTTGTCCCAGGATGCACAGTAGCCCATTCTCCTATGGCGAATCATAATCCATCCAGTATACACATCAGCTCACTTATAATAGCTGCCTCCATGGTTGAATACACTACATAGCTGAGCATTGTTCATGGTCTATGGTCTTCCCTAAATGGTCACTGCAGCTCAGCATTTCAGGCAATTCATGTAACCCTCCTTGTTTCACCAGAAAAGAGAAAAGCTTCCAAACAGTAAAAAATGTTTGTAACCATTCGCACTGTTGTTATAGGAAAAATACAACGTAAAAAAGTGAAAAAAGCAAAAAAACAAAACAAAAAATAATGCAGCACTCCATTTAAGGATTGGTAAATTGCAGTATATTACATACTTGTTTCTGAGTTTAATACCCCTGTAGTTGCCAGAACAAATTTCCCAGTGTTAGTATGCATTAAACTTTATGAGGAATTTGATAAAGGGCCCATTCGTGTTGATGTGCTTCGTGTTAAGGCTTTCCTGTTTAACACACTACAATGGACCCCAAATTGTGTATGCAGCATATGCAATGCAGGTGCGCTAGAATCATATGTTGGGGTATCATTCAGAATAAATAGCAGCGCATCAAACCAATGAGTGTAACATATGTTACATTGCTCTGATGTAAAAATTCATGCCACGAGGTGTTAGCTTTCACTACACTTTCAGTCATACTGTTGTTTTTATCTGCCCCCCTCCCCTCTTCTCCATTCACAGAATGCTTTGTATGCTTTAAGTTGATGTTTGACATATATTTTTTACTATATATGCAAAAATTTGTTTTGCAAATTAACATTTAATACAGGTTCATTTATAATACACAATTCAAGGAGCGGGAACAGCAGAAGTTGCTTTCCTTCAGACTCTCTCCTTTGTTTTTTTTTTTTTAAATCTTTTATTTGAAAAAGTAGAAAAAAAAAACAGTACAAGATGCAACCTTTTTATTTTCTTCCTCTGCTTTAAAACTACTTAGACCGTACTTAAAAGGCAGACAGGGAGAAGGAGGTGCCATTCCCTTGGTTCATTCACATATGTGTGTTCAGATTGCGTCTTTGAGCACTGTATTTTTTGTATGTTATTCTATTATTTTATTTTCTATTCTTTTCTATTCATTTATTTCCAATTCTGTTCTTTTCTCTTATTTTCTATTCTATTATTTTATTTTCTATTCAATTCTTTTCTGTTTTATTATATTCAATTCTTTTCAAAATTCGAACTTCAGAAGACAACAATAATCTTTCCAGTTTATTCTATTCTATACTATTCCATTTTTTCTCATCTGTTTTATTCATTTTTTATATTCTATTATTTTATTTTCTATTCTATTCATTTCTAATATTTTACATTTTTTTCTATTCTAGTCCTTTATTTTCTATTCTATGCTTTTGTGTTCTATTCTGTTTTATTCTAGTTTTTTATTCTATTTGAAATTAGAATTTCAGAATTCAGCTATATTCTTTCCATTTTATTCTATTCTATTTGAAATTCGAATTTTCAAAATATTTTATATATTTATTTTAGGTACTTATATAGCGCCATCAATTTACGCAGTGCTTTTACATATATATTGTACATTTACATCAGTCCCTAACCTCATGGGGTGTACAATCTAAGGTTCCTAAGTCACATTCATACATACACATACTAGGGACAATTTAGACAGGAGCCAATTAACCTACCAGCATGTCTTTGGAGTGTGGGAGGAAACTAGAGTACCCGGAGAAAACCCACACAAGCACAGTGAGAACATGCAAACTCCAGGCAGGTGGTGCCGTGGTGGGATTCGAGCCAACTACCCTAGTACTGCCAGGCGGAAGTGCTAACCATTTAGCCACTGTGCTGCCCAGATATATATGCTATTCTATTCTTCTCTATTATATTTCTTTATTTTCTATTACATTTTATTCTTTTATTTTCTGTTCTATGCTGCTTTATGCTATTCTATTCTTTTCGAAATTCAAATTTTGGAAGACGGCTTAATTCTAACACTATTACACACAGTCTTTAAAGGAAATCACCAAAAATCAGCAATATGTTTACATTTTGAAATTGTTTTTGAATTTGTTTCAAATGCGATTCAAATTCAATTCGAATTTGAATAATTTGTTATTTCGGACAGAATTTTGTTTTGTTATTTTGGAAATATTTAAATTCAATACTATTGTAATTCAGAAATTAGAATACACCTGAATCTCAGAATAATGAAAATTTTGTCCAAATTGCGATTCATATCGAAACAAATTGCACATGTCTACTCATTATACATTCCCTTTAAGCAGTTTGATTATAACCCATTCATACATTTGGTTTCAGCCATGCTGGGAGAGGTGTCTGTGAACCAAATTATAGGTTTTTACAGTTAAGAGTCATTAAAGCGCAGCTCCACCCAAAAGGGGAAGTGCCATGTTAAAGGCTTCATCCCCTGCCCCCTGTTAACCACTTGCCTAAGAGCACTTATACCCCCTTCGTGCCCAGGCCAATTTTCAGCTTTCACTGCTGTTGCATTTTGAATGACAATTGCGTGGTCATGCAACATTGTGCCCATGTGAAATTTTTATAATTTTTTTCACACAAATAGAGCTTTCTTTTGGTGGTATTTAATCGCCGCTGGGTGTTTTAGTTTTTGCACTATAAACAAAAAAAGAGCAAAAAATTGGAAAAAGAAAATGTTTTTCTTTGTTTCTATTATAAAATTTTGCAAACAGGTAATTTTTCCTTCACTGATGTGCGTTGATGAGGTTGCACTGATAGGCAGCACTGATGGGCACTGATGAGGTGGCACGGAAAGGCAACACTGATGGGCACTGATAGGCTGCACTGATGAGGCGGCACTGGTGGGCATTGATGAGGAAGCACTGATGCTGCTGCACTGATATGCTGTAATGATGGTCACTGATAGGCGGCACTGTTGAGCACTGATAGGCGGCACTGATGGGTACTGATTGGTGGCACTGATGGGCAACACTGACAGGTGGCACTGACTGACGGCACTGACTGACAGCCCTGACTGGCAGCACTAACTGATGGCACTGACTGGTGGCACTGCTGGGTACAACTGCTGGGCACTGATGGGTACAACTGCTGGGCAGCACTGATGGGTGGCACTGCTGGGGGGCACTGATGGGTGGCACTGATGGGCACTGCTGGGCACTGCACTGGGAGGCACTGCAGGCAGGGCATTGATGATCAGTATCGATAATCGGCAACTGTATTTACTCTGTGATCTGCTGTGTCATTGGACACAGCTGATCATGTGGTAAAAGATCCCTGTGATTGGCCTTTTGCCTCATCACTTGATCAACTGTGTCCGTAGAACACAAGGAGATCATAGTTGCGCACCCCAGGGGGTGCGCGGGAGGGGGCAGATTCTGGGAGAATGTCATATGACACCCTCCCAGAACTGGGTAACCGTGCTGTAGCCATCATTCAAGTGGTTAAGGCTTGGCACCTTTGGGGAGCGGAGGGGAGGGGGTACCTGAAATTGACAGGTACCCGCTCCCACTTCCACTGTGATTGCCTAGGCGATCGGAAGTGGAAATTGTCCTTCCCCCCCTCCCTCCCTGTAGTTTTATGGCACACGTGACAGGTCCAAGAAGACTACAGGACTATTCACAAAGCGCAGCTCAACTTTTGCATGCGCAGTGGGCACCCAGCTGTAAAACCGCAAGCTATCACAGCCAAAGTGAGGACACTGCAGGATCGATGGATAGGTGAGTGTTTTTTAAATGTCAGTTTTTGTCACTGCTGTTTTTTTTTTTTCTTTATGTTGACTGGACCGCCGCTAACCACTAGCCTACAGGGCACTTATACCCCCTTCCTGCCCAGGCCAATTTCCAGCTTTCAGCGCTGTCACACTTTCAATGACAATTGCGTGGTCATGCAACACTGTACCCATATGAAATTTTTATCATTTTTTTGAGACAGATAGAGCTTTCTTTTGGTGGTATTTAATCACCTCTGGGATTTTTATTTTTTTCTTAAACAAACCAAAAACCACTGAAAATTTTGAAAAAAAAAGTTTTTTCTTAGTTTTTGTTATACAATTTTGTAAATAAGTGATTTTTCTCCTTCACTGATGTGCGCTAATGCGGTTGCAGTGATGGGCATTGATAGGCTGCACTGATGGACACTGATAGGTGGCACTGATGGGCACTGATGAGGAGGCACTGGTAGGTTGCACTGATGGGCATTGACAGGCATCACTGATGGGCACTGAAAGGCAGCACTGATACATGACACTGATATATGGCACTGATAGGCGGCACTGACAGGCGGCACTGACTGGCACTGTTAGGCAGCACTGACTGGCACTGTTAGGCGGCACTGACTGGCAATGATAGGTGGTACTGACTGGCACTGATAGGTGGCACTGATGTGCACTGATAGGCAACACTGACTGGCACTGATAGGTGGCACTGATTGGCAGTACTGATAGGTGGCACTGACTGCCACTGATGGGTGACATTGAAAGGCAGCTCAGATGGGCACATATATGTGGCATTGATGTGCACTAGTATGCACTGATATGTGGCATTGATGTGGCACTGATGGGCACTGGCAGGTGGCACTGACTGCTGGCACTGATGGACACTGACAGCTGGCACTTCTGGGGCCACACTGATCATCAGGGCACACTGATCATCAGTGCGCTGATGATCAGTGTACATGTCCCCTCCGCGGAAAGCCGATTACCGGCTCTCCTCTCCTCTCGAGCTGTCAGCGTGACAGCTTGAGAGGAGAGAAATGCCGATAACCGGCATTTCCGTGTTTACATGTGATCAGCTGTGATTGGACACAGCTGATCACATGGCCGAGCCGACATCTTCGGCTCTTTCCGTGATCCGCTGTGTCCCTGAGCCGCGCATGCGTGGTGAGAATGGAAGGATATCATATGAAGTCCTATCAGAATGAGAGAACCACCTTGCGCCCGTCATTGTACTATATGTCGGGCGGAAGGTAGTAAAGGTATCATTAATTTTATTCCATGCAAAAATTCAAAGATTACAATTATAAGCATTTGATTTTCCTCCATGACAGCCAAATGCCTGTCCCATATATAGTGCAGGAAACATTGCAATGATATTCTACCTTTGCAAATCAGTCTACAAAGTATGAAGGGTGAAAAGGGAGAATCATATATTCTATTTTCTCGATTATCAATGGACAGAAGGTATTTATAGCCGACAAAGGACGGTCCTTCCCAATTCATCTCCCCCTACACACCAGTAGGTCAGTCTACCTGTGAAACCAGAAAAAGATTACAGAACGTATTTTCTTTGAACACTGAAAGTTCCAGATTCCTTGAACTTGGCTTTCATTAGCAGAAAATCTTGCACATTTTTATTACAGCCATGTGGTTTGAATGTAAATCATTTGCAGCTACTGCTTGTGCCAATGCAATGTATAAATAGCTGAACAGTGCCATAAATCATATGTTCCTTTTATCTGAAAATAGGATCTTTTTGGCTAGTATGTCCTTGTTTGTACACCAAAGTCCATAGAAACAGACAGTTCAATAAAAGGCTGATTATGCTAAAATAAAAAAGGTCTGTTTGTGTGAAGAGTTGACAAATTGGAATGCTCCTGCTAATAGGCTTCTAATTATTACATGCCAAATAAAAGATTCCTTAGTATGGCTTTTATTTATAATGCTTTATTATTGCTTTACTTAAGTATTAGTATCTTTCTTTTTTTTTTCATTCTTTTATTTAAAAGTATCAAGTAAAAACAAAATTTCCATTTTTACAATTCAACATCAAAAAAGTTTTACAAAGTTGCCACACAAAATTCTATACAAACAACTAACTGCAATATTTACATATCCTGCCCCACAATCCCTCCCCCTCCCCACATATATTTATTTATTTCAGGTACTTATATAACACTGTCATTTTACGCAGTGCTTTACATATATATTGTAAATTCACATCAGTCCCTAACCCTCAAGGGGTGTACAATCTAAGGTCCCTAACTTACATTCATACATACACATACTAGGGACAATTTAGACAGGATCCAATTAACCTACCAGCATGTCTTTGGAGTGTGGGAGGAAACCGGAGTACCTGGAGGAAACCCACGCAGGAACAGGGAGAATATGCAAACTCCAGGCAGGTGGTGCTGTGGTTGGGATTTGAACCAATGACCATAATATGACTAGGCAGAAGTGCTAACCATTTAGCCACTGTGTTGCCTAAACTGTTTCCACCCCAGCACCCATAGAGGAGAGAGGGCTGTGTCTGTTCTGCATAAGCAGAGTGGACATAGACCAGCCATTCAACTGCTCAGTGGGGATCAGCGAACACACCTTCCACTGAGCAAGAGTCCACCCCATGAGAAAGGGTCCCTTAAGCTGCCTGTGGATGTTTGCCAAGCCAGCAGATGACCATACTGTCTGGATGAACTGAGTCTAAGATAGTATGTCAATGCATAAAGAAGCTTTTGAAACAGAACATCATCCGTTTTAATTGAATTTAGTCTGACTTAAATGTCACCCGAATTTCAAGATCAAATCTACTCCTGATATCAACCATTGATCGGAATTCAAAGACATAGCAGCAATTTATTCCAGTGAGGCTTTACTGCCATGCACAGTATTGGGACTCTAATAAATGGAGCTTTATGACTAGAGCCCATTGATGGCTTCATCATTAAGATGCTTCTCCTTCGTTGTCCAAAAACTGTCCTTGACCAAGCTGTACTGCTCTAACTACAGTGAAGAAAAGTATGGTCAAGGATTTTTCTGTCTGCTGGACAACTGGTTACATAGATTTACAAGTCTTTAACAGGCAATATAGTCTACATATACACTATATTGCCAAAAGTATTGGGACGCCTACCTTTACACGCATATGAACTTTAATGGTACCCTAGTCTTAATCCATAGGGTTCTATATTGAGTCAGCCCACCCTTTGCAGCTATATAACAGCTTCAACTCTTCTGGGAAGGCTGCCCACAAGGTTTAGGAGTGTGTCTATGGGAATGTTTGCCCATTCTTCCAGGAGCACATTTGTGAGGTCAGACACTGATGTCAGGACGAGAAGGCCTGGCTCGCAGTCTCCGCTCTAATTCATCCCAAAGGTGTTCCATCTGGTTGCGGTCAGGACTCTGTGCAGGCTAGTCAAGTTCCTCCACCCCAAACTTGCTCATCCATGTCTTTATGGACCTTGCTCTGTACACTGGTGTGCAGTCATGTTAGAACACAAAGGGGCAACCCCTAACTGTTGCCACAAAGTTTGGGAGCATGAAATTGTCCAAAATGTCTTGGTATGCCGATGCCTTAAGAGTTCCCTTCACTGGAACTAAGGGGCCAAGCCCAACCCCTGAGAAACAACCCCACACCATAATCCCCCCTCCACCAAACTTTACACTTGGCACAATGCAGTCAGGTAAGTTCTCCTGGCAACTGCCAAACCCAGATATGTCCATCAGATTACCAGACAGAGAAGCACGATTCCTCACTCCAGAGAACATGTCTCCACTGCTCTAGTGTCCAGTAGCGGCGTGCTTTACAAAACTGCATCCGATGCTTTGCATTGCACTTGGTGATGTAAGGCTTGGATGCAGCTGCTCGGCCATGGAAAAAACCCATTCCCAGCTCTCTACACACTGTTGTTGTGCTAATCTGAAGGCCACATGAAGTTTGGAGTTCTTTGGCTATTGACTCTGCAGACAGTTGGCGACTTCTGCGCACTGTGCGCTTCAGTGCTGACCCCACTCTGGCCTACCACCACATCCTGGCTATTGTTCTCAGTTGCTTCCACTTTGTTATAATGCCACTAACAGTTGACCGTGGAATATTTAGTAGCAAGGAAATTTCACGGATGGACTTATTGCACAGGCAGCAACCTATCACGGTACCATGCTTGAAATCACTGAGCTCCTGAGATCAACCCCCATTCTTTGTAGTCTGTAGTAGTCTAGTAGTCTGCATGTCTAGGTGCTTTATTTTATACACCTGTGGCCATGGAGGTGATTGGAACACTGAATCTAATGATTTGGAGGGGTGTCCCAATACTTTTGGCAATATAGTGTGTGTATTTCACATCTGACATGGCCAAGTGCTGAAAACCTCCAGTCTCTGAGTTTTACCAGGTGGTGATCTAAAAAAACACCTATTAGATGTGGAAAGTAGAAAGTTTCACTCTGACCACCACAATGAAATCATAGACTATGTACATTGCCTGAGTGTTTATATGCTGTGCGTTCTATCCACAGAACCCCATGATGCATTAAAGCAAAGCACAAATGACTTTCTACATGTCTGTATTAAGCAGCAGGTCACGGAACCACTTCTTGAGAAGACCAGTGGAATAAAACCTAATATGTACTTTCCACATCAGTCATTCCCTCGCAGGTTATGACTGATGAGGTAGGAAGTAGGTTATTAAAACACAATTTTTCCAGCATTTCTGCATTGCCGTCAATGGCCTTTTTTATCACTAGTAGTTATCAAAGCCCTGGGGAAAATGGAAGCTTTTAGGGGAAAAAGAAGCAGGCAGCTAATCGTTTGTAAATCAATTTATGCTTGTGACGTGGTCCCTGAATTTTCTGGATGTAGGTTGATTTTTCATAAATGAGGTTACAGTGGCTGGTTTCAGATATAGCTATCAAGCAAGCAAAACATACATAATTATGCCTAATGCCTTACATAAACATTTACTTTAAAAAGAAAAAAAATCTAAGTGATATGTTCTTTTCCAGAGATACATGTGGGATCTATGCAGTCATAACAAACATGGAATACGTATGCTATTTTACTGACAGTTTTAACAAATACGGTGAATTCTAGGCATCCATTAAGAAAATGTTAAAACCCAACTCCGGTTACCTTGATTTTTACAATTCTTATCTGTTTCAAATGTCGTTTTATGCATTGACACACCTCCTTATACTTAGTCTGTCCAGACACATGGTCACCTGCTGACTTGGCAACTTAACTCTTCAATAAGACACAAAAGTCGAAACCAACACAATTTTACTTCAGTTAACTGCAGTACAAAAGATGTTTTTCCAAATCTTCTAAAGTGTAAGAAGACAAAGGCTTTCCTGAGCTCTGTCTCTGTGAATAACTAACACTGACTGAGGGAACATGGAAAAATCAGGGAAGGTTTAGCTAAGACTAAACTAACTAGCCCTAAACAGGATGGGAGGACAGAGGAAAACACCAAAATCACATTAGTAAACAAGCTGCAGCATCTAGTGGTGGTTTTGGGCTGCTGCAGCTTGTTTACTAATGTGATTTTGGTGTTTTCCAACATACTACAAAAAAGGCAGCCTCATGCAGCTCAATAAAAGACATGAACGTGGAGTAGAACAACTTCTTTATCCTGTAATATGGGTGTTGGATGAGTTATGGGCCTTATTTGCTAAGTTGTCTGTGA